ATATACACCTGAACATCAGCAGGAGAGGACTCTTTAAAGTAGAGACACTACATACTGATATACACCTGAACATCAGCAGGAGAGGACTCTTTAAAGTAGAGACACTACATACTGATATACACCTGAACATCAGCAGGAGAGGACTCTTTAAAGTAGAGACACTACATACTGATATACACCTGAACATCAGCAGGAGAGGACTCTTTAAAGTAGAGACACTACATACTGATATACACCTGAACATCAGCAGGAGAGGACTCTTTAAAGTAGAGACACTACATACTGATATACACCTGAACATCAGCAGGAGAGGACTCTTTAAAGTAGAGACACTACATACTGATATACACCTGAACATCAGCAGGAGAGGACTCTTTAATATATCGTACACAGCAGGAATATCTGGCTAGATAATCTTTAAAACCATAATAAATCATAGCTATGCTGACGATATTCAGAAGGGTAATCCCCCTGATTCTCGTGGCATAAGATAACACAAAACAATCATGCTACTACAATCTTGATTTCTGTATTACTAGAAAAGGAAAGCTGTAGTAAACGAAACATGAAAGCCTGATGGATTTACAGCTCGCAGCCTTTTCTGTTCCAGGTCAGTTTAACTTTCGGAGTTTCTCTGTCTCTGAACCTTGAGTTTAAAAAGCACACTGATTGTCGGGGCAGTCTGAATTGCATATATTCACTCGTGATTATATTTATTCAGCCGAGTCAATCATCACTGTTTAAATGAGCTCGGTGCCTTTTCTATTCCCAGAACCATTTGCACAAATTGCCACTTCACTTTCCCCCCGAATAACTGAGATTTACTGCAAACCACGAAACAGCCCCAGATCTAGTTAAGAGAACGCTGTAAAGGAAGAGCTCTGATCAGGAATCGAGCCACGAAAAACAACACTATATTCCGTGTGCTTAAAATACACGGCTTTGTTGAGTTAGTCTACGATATGAGATGTGAAGTAGTCTTTATTTCTGATAGGAGCGACTCACCTGTTCGCCTGTGAAGTTCATGATGGTCTTCAGATCGGTACCGTTCAGAATCGACACCTGCAACACAGAAGCCACATATGGTCTTTTTTTAACAGGCTATTATATAAACACCGTCTGTGGTTTAGGAATTCACTCCGATAATAAGTCTAACTGTGAACACTGGAGGCTGTCTTCTTTCTCTTTATTGATCGATGACTCATCTTTCTTACCAATCCATAAAGCTTGAGTCCTTTTGGAACGCCGGCCACGAAATCTGAGAGAGATGGAGCAAAGATTTAGGAGACAAAACACCACATGGAACTCGAGGGTTGTGTAAAATATTCTACTTTAAGTTCACGTCAGCTGGAGTATTTTCTCTTCTCTGTGCCAGCAGTTTTTACGTTTTTATTCCTATACGCTTCATATAACTTTGGCTGTGAGCGTGCATACCCAATTTCATTTCATTGGCTTACCTTCCACCTGATCACCGCTGAATTCCCCAACAGCGATAGAGTAGCCTGTGGACCAGAGGACAGACATGAGGCTATGTAAA